GACTTCAGAGAGGAAGAGAGAAATAGAAACATCAATGATGAGAATCACTGATCAGCTGCCTCCTGCATGCCCCCCACTGGGGACGGAGTCTGCAACCTGGGCATGTGCCCTGACCTTCTGGTTCCTAGGTTGGTGCTCAGCCACTGAGCCACACCAGCCGGGCCTCATTGTGTTTTTTTAAACTTCAACAATGGCTGTAACCGGTTTGGCTCAGTGGATAGAGGGTCAGCCTGCAGACTCAAGGGTCCCAGGTTCGATTCCGGTCAAGGGCATGTACCTTGGTTGTGGGCACATCCCCAGTAGGGGGCGTGCAGAAAGCAGCTTATCGATGTTTCTCTCTCATCGATAATTCTAACTCTCTATCCCTATCCCTTCCTCTCAGTAAGAAATCAATAAAATATATTTTAAAACAAACAAAACAAAAAAACTTCAACAATGAATGAGAAGCAAAGGAGGAGCTGCGCCTCCAGCTCTGAGCCCAGCCCTTGTGTAGCTCACCTGAGCCCTCCGGCTCCCGCTCCAGCCTTCCCATTCGCCCAGGGGCCTGATTACCAGTTCTTTCCATCCAGGAGCACCTCCTCCAGGGACCTGGTGCAGCTCCCAAGCCGCCCTGGGAGAGGGATCTGCTCCCGGGGGTCTGGCTTTTTCTCCCAGTGACTTGAGAGTCTCAGGTCCCGGGTGCAGCTGGAAGGGAACATTCCCGTGGGCCACTGAGGTTGGCTCCTCTTGGACTCTGACTCGCCACGCCCTGGCCCTGCCTCTGAGGTTGGGAGGATACTGGGCTCCGCTGAGAGTCCTGGTTCTCCAATTACCCAAGGCAGGGTTTTCTCAGCTGTGGTCCTTGCACCACCACCACCAGCAACAGGACCAAGGAACTTGTTAGAAATGCAAATTCTTGGACACGACCCCCCACCACCACCACCACCTACTGAGTCCAACACTGGGGGTGGGGCTCAGCAATCTGTGTTTTAATAAGTTCTCCAGTGTGAGAACCACTTCCCCGACCATCGGGGGGGCATCTTGGGGGGCAAATCTTGTGCCCCTTCATTTTACAGAGAGGACAGGGCCTGGCTCGAGTGGCACAGACGGTTAAGTGGCATTACGGTGGCACTGGAAGCCAGGCCATCGGTTTCCAGAACCCCCACTCTCTGTTCTGACTCAGGCAGATTAGAAGCTATAGTATCAGTATTAGGGAAGATATTAAAGCTCAGTTTTGTATAAAACTTCCACATAAGCCCTAGTTGGTTTGGCTCAGTGGATAAAGCATCGGCCTGTGGACCGAAAGGTCCTGGGTTCGATTCCCGTCAAGGGCACACGTACCTCTGTTGCAGGCTCCTCCCCAGCCCAGGCCCTGGTCAGGGCACGTGCAAGAGGCAACCAATCGATGTGTTTCTCTCACATCGATATTTCTCTCTGTCTTTCCCTCTCCCACTCTCTCTGAAAATCAATGGAAAAATATCCTCAGGTGAGGCTTAAATAAATAAATAAATAATAATAAAACAGCCACATAAAACAAGATGCTGGATAAAAAGGAAGACAGCACCAAAAGCCACTTACTGTGTGATTCCGTCCACACGACAGTTTGGAAAAGGCAAAACCATAGGAACGGAAAACAGCTGAGCGGTCTCCGGGGGCTGGAGCGGCGGGGAGAGCTGACCGCAGAAGGGCACAGGGGAGCTGGGGGAAGCTGCATCGTACAATTATATAGATCCCGTGTCTGCATTGTAGTGGCGGTGACATGACTGTTTATATTGTCAAAGATCATCAAAGACATTATTATACAAAGCTGAGCTGTATGTAGATGGAGCAGTGGTTCCCAAATCTGCCAGCTCCTCCGAATGACCTGGAGTGGTCAGTTCAAAACCAGTCAGGTGCCCTGGCCAGTGTGGGTCAGTGGTTAGAGCATCGGCCCATGGATGGAAGGGTTTCGGATTCCATTCCCAGTCAAGGGCACGTATATGGGTTGCAGGTTTGATCCCTGGCCCTGGTCGGGGCTCGTGTGGGAGGCAACCAATCGATGTGTCTCTCACATCTATGTTTCTCTGTCTTTTTCTCTCCCCCTTCTTCCCTCCCTCCCACTCTCAAATAAATGGGCATGGGGGGGTGGGGGAGTGATCTTTAAAAACAAAAACAAAAATAATTAGTCAGACCTCACCCAGAAGTTACTGGATCGGAACCTGCAGGGGTCAGGGGGGCAGGAATCTGCATTTTAACAAGCTCCCGGGTCCGAGGTGCTGGAGTGTATGTTTCGGGGCCAGGACTTCTGGGTCAGGACAGGATTTCAAGCTTCCAGCTCTAGCCCAGACTTGGACCCTCAACTCCAGGCTCAGGTATCCAACCCCCACCTGGCATCCCTACCTGGCTCTCAAATTTAGCACGTCTGACCGTGACCTCCCAACCTGCCCCCAACCAGCCCCACCGTAGTTTTCTCCATTGCAGTCCATGGCACTTCCATTCTTCCAGTAATTCTGCCAAACCGTTGCATCATCCTCGACTCCTTCTCTTTCTCCCTCCCTTTTGTTGATGATGATGTTCAGTTTTAATTTCATAATCATAAACGTAACTCTTCATCCTGCAGGACTCGGAAGGGGACAGGACAACATGGAGCCCAACAACGGCAGCGAGAGCAGGAAGACGGCAGGCGTTGCGAGCAGTGGGCGTGGGGTGCGCTCCTGAGCTGCGGAAGGGATGGCCCCCTGGTTAAGATGAACCACGAGGCCATGTTGGCACTGCCCTCAGCCAGCAGTGGGGACCTGGTCTTGTCATTCCTGGACCCAGGGTGCCCCACGGCTCCCACAGTCCTCGTGCCCTTTCTCACCTCGCCCAAGGCCACGTGCTTGCCAGGCGCGCACTCAGGCTGGGCAGCGCCAATGAAAAACTGGAACCGTTTGTGTTGGTCCAGCTTTTGCCATGGAGGAGATGCCAGGACGCATGTACTCGAGGGTGACATTCTCATGCACTTCTCCCGGTGATGGACTTGCCGCCTGTGCCGTTATGTTGTGTGAAGTCACCACCCTGGCACACAAATCCCAGAATAATTCTGTGAAAGCAGGAATCTTCATAGTCAAATTTTCCTGCTCAGAGCAGGAAAGCTTTCTGCTGTCTTTGGAACGCCGTGGCTTGGCCTGGGCCAGGGCGGCTCCTGGGGCAGTGTCTTCAGTGTCTTCTCTTGAAATTCTGTAGGCTTTACCTTTTCATCACCTTCCCGCTCCTGGGGCAGTGTCTTCAGTGTCTTCTCTTGAAATTCTGTAGGCTTTACCTTTTCATCACCTTCCCGCCCCCACCCTGGCAGCAGTGTGGTGTGAGGCACCATCATTGTGTCCGGCCTAGATTACTTGAATGGGTTCCGAACCGGTGTCCCTATTTCTACCCTGCACTGCCCTACAGTTCATTCTCAGTACAGTAGCCAGGGTGATGATGTTATAAGTCATTTCTCTGTCTGAAACCCTCTGGGGGCTCCTTATCTCAGAGTAAAAGCTCAAGTGGCCTCCATGGCCCTGACCTTAGATCCATCATCTCCAGACCTTGGCTCCTCCTTGCTCCCTTTGCTCCAGCCACACTGGCCGCCTTGCTGTCTTTTGAACCTGCCAGCCCTGCCCCTCCTGCCTCAGGACCTTTGCACATGCTGCTCCCTCGGCCCAGAATGGTCTTCCTTCAGATTTCCCCATCACTGCCCCCTCACCTCCTTCAAGTCTTTGTTCAGATGTTAACTTCTCTGATCATCTTGACATCTCCTCCCTCATTTTTTCCTATAGACCTTACCCTCTAATATTTACTTGTTTTGTCTGCCTCCCTCACTAGACTGTCAGTTCCCAACCTCATGGAGCTGACATTAGTCTGTTTTATTTACTGCTGTATCTCTACTGCCTAAACCTGGCTCATGGGAGGTGCTCAATAAATGTTTATTTTAAAGAATGAAGGAGAGCCTGGCTGGTGTGGTTCAGGAGGTCATGGTTCGATTCCCAGTTGGGGCATATGCCTGAGTTGTGGGCTTGATCCCCAGTGTGGGCTGTGCAGGAGGCAGCCAATCAATGGTTCTCTCTCATCATTGATGTTTCTCTCTCTCTCCCTCTCCCTTTCTCTCTGAAATCAAATATATATATATTTAAAAGAAGCCTGGAGAGAAGTGACTATCTCAAGGTCATAGCCATCCAGAATCAATGGCTTTCACTCTTAGAACAAACAAATCATCAATCCCACAGCTCTGGCCCAAAGTCCTTCTCACAGCCATGCCAGGTCCTGGATCCAAAGCTGGACCAGCTGGGCCTCATCGCCAGGACAAAACGAAGGACAGCCCAGCCTCTGGGGGTGCCTGTCTGACTCTGCCAGGACCCAGGTGCTTACAAGACCAAGGCAAGGGGCTGCCATGGGAGAGGGGCTCCTCTGAAGAAAGAAACTTAGAGCTGCCTGTGCCTCAGTCCTGGGCTGGTGGAGGCCGAGGCAGCCACCTCCGCACCCCCTCCAGCTGCTGGGCCCAGACGCCTGACTCTGAGGGTGACGGGTGGGGCGGGTGGAAGAAGGCCTGCAGCTCCCAAGCAGAAGAGCAGTACACAGCTGCTGCTGCTAACCCACAGCACAGGGACAGATTTCAAATGCTCCAGGCGCCCTTCCCCTACCAGCAGAGGGCGCCCTGGCCCACGAGGTCCAGGCTCGGTCACCTAGCGCCCTCTGGCGGCCACACTGGAGCCCTGATCTCCCCAGCCACTTCCACCAGAGGGTCCCAGCCACACAACTGAAGATCCAAAGGCAGGAGGCCAACAGCCCTGGGTCTGGCCTAGGCCCTCCTTGACCTGCAAGGTGAGGCCTGTGATGCCCTCGACAGTCCCACTGGGTGAGCACTCACTGTGGGCCGGGCTGCTTCTCCTCCCACCCCCACTACCAGCCAGTAGACAAGCCAGGGGGCCTGACTCCGCCTCCAGGCTGCACTCCCCTCTGTCCCTCCAACGGCTCACCCGTCGATTTTAGACCTCCTGACAAGCACAGAGGCTCAGCCATGAGTTAAAAAATGTCAAGTGCAAACACCAGCTGAGTTTTATTGAGGGCCTACTGGTCGCTGGGTCCTCCTCCCACCACCTTGCACTTCCCACTGGCTAGGGACCCAGGCTTTGAGCTGGGGGGTGGGGGTAGCTGAGGTGGAGGTAGAAGGAGGGGCCCCAGCAGCTGGGTCCTCAGGGAGGGCAGGGCCCCTGCGTCTGCCCAGCTTGAGCCTCCCTACGTCCCTCCACCCCAGGCCGGCCGTGAGGCAGGCAGGTGGGGTGAGAGGGCCTGTGAGCCCTGCCCTCCACGCTGTGACCTCGGGCAAGGGCATCTCTGATTTCTCCCATGTCAGATGGGGCCAGAGGGCAGAGTGGCCATGGCTGCTGGTTTCCACTGGGTCTGTGGTTCCCGGTGGCGGCTCCTGCCAGCAATCTCCAACTCTGCTCCCTGGACAGCTCTGGCCTCTCCTGGGCACCCCCTGGAGTCACCCCGGGACCTGGTGGGAGGCAAGAGGAGAGAAACAGAACTGGAGTCAGACAGTGAGAGGCAGACAGAATCAGAGACAGATCTAGTCAGAGACACAGACAATCAGAGGTGAGCAGAGGGAGACACCAGGATACAGAGAAACAAAGAGAGCCAGAGACAGACACACACAGAGAGAGAGAGCTAGAGGTGGACGGAGAAATGCAGAGACAGCCCAAGACACAGAGGCAGAAACACAGCCAGAGAGAAAGAGCGAGCGAGCGAGTGAGGAGACAGGCTGAGAAGGGGGGACACAGACCCAGACGGGAGTTGGCCGTGGACGGGGAGAGGACGCTCAGGCCCGGCCCTCACCTAGAGCTCGTCCCTGGGGTGGGGATGGAGGCTGTGCCCACTGCTGCCAGCCAGGTCCAGGCGGGGGTCACGAAGGGTCTTGTGAGAGCCGCTCCAGCTGATGAGGCGGCCGCTGTCGTCGTCCCAGAGTGAGGAGGTCTCCGTGTCGCTGAGCCACTCCGCATCCCCCGCGTAGTGGGTGGGCTCCGCGAGCAGGGGTCGGGCGGAGAAGGCCTGCAGGTCCCGAGGCCAGAAGTGTGCCTTGTACTGCTCACTGTGGGTGGGAGATGGCGTAGGGGGCGGAGGTGAGCCCCTGCGCGCAGGCCTCACGCACCTCACTCCCTCCCCAGCGAGACCTCACGGCAAACATGAGGGGCATGGTTTCCCTTAGCACCATTTTCCCGGTGAGGAAACTGAGGCCCAGAACTGGGAAGCCGCTTCTCTAAAAGCCACATGGCCAGCAGAGTCCACACCTCGGTTAGCCTGCCTCCAGGGGGAGGCTGGGCTCCTCTGCTACCCCTGGGTGCCTCAGCCTTGCCAGCCTCCGTCTCCCCACCTGCCCAGCCGGGGGGCGTACCACTTGCTGAGGTGGGCCTGCCCCGCCCCCACCTGAGACTCACTTGGGGTGCTGATCAAACATGATGGGCAAGAACTCGTCCACGGGCAGCATCCGGCGCAGCGGCTGGGAGGCCAGCAGCTTGCGGGCGCCGGCCAGGCTCAGGACATACGCCAGCGTCCAGTAGGAGTACCCGGCCACCACCAGGCGCGGCAGCCCCTCCACGGCCACCTCCTCCTCAGGGTTCACCTGCTTCCGGCCGAGGTAGCTGCAGGCGACGTTAGGGTCCCAGGAGTCATTGTAGGACCTGGTGTGTCATAGGACCCACCCCCGTCCTCCAGGACCAGGTTGGGGGAAGGAAGGCTCCAAGCAGGAGGCAGATCCCCCCCCCCCCCAAGGACAGGACCCTTCCTGGGGGTGCAGACTGCCTACATCAGGTCCCAGGGAAGTTTCTCTGCCTCCACCTCCTTCATCAGCCTCTCCAAACGCCCCTTGAAGTTGCTCTCAAAGCGCACGTCATCCTCGAACACCACGACCCGGGCCAGGCCCCTGGCAACCACCTGTGGTAAAAGGTTGGGGGGGCTCTTTAGATTCGGGCTGTCCCCTTCCACCTGGCTAACACCGACCCTCTCCCTGGCCTCATGTACATGCCAGCTGCTCAGTCCTGGCCACGTCACTCCGCTGCTCCAGAGCCCGCTGGGCTCCCACTGCCGGGGGACTGAAATCCACGCCTCGCTCTGGCTTGCAAGCCCCCACACCCCTCCGAGCGCTCCAAGTAGGCTCGTGCTGGCGATCGGAACCCGTGCTGCACTCGCTGAGTGCTGCCAGATCCCAGGGGCCACGGTGCCACCGCCCGCCTCCAGGGACCCGCAGTGGCAGCGGCACGATGGCCCAGGACTGCAGCAAGGAGACAGAGACAGGGAGGTGAAGCCATGCGCCCAAGGACACGCAGACCGCATGGCAGAGCCAGGACCTGAACCTGCACCTGCTGGACCGCAGGGCCCAGGTGCTCACTTGGGCCTCCTGAGCTTTCTCTCCTAAAGGAGGCCGGGCTGGGCGGGGGTGGGGGAGACCCTGGCCCCCAACAGCTCTAAGAGAAAGCACTTTCCAAAACGTTTGGAAATGTGAAAAGAACATGGAATCAGCTCAGCAGATGGCGAAATGTACATCAGGTGTCCATCCGTTCAGAGACAGTGGAAAACAACGACATAGAAGCTCACACACACATTGTGGCTACAGCAAAGAATAAAAACAAGGCGTGAGTCTGCACTGCCCCCAGGAGGGGCGCCCCTTGGGCCAGTGTCCCAGCAGTAGCCTCAGTGTCACTCCCACTCCTGGCCCTGGATTGAGGCCCTTCTTCTTCCCACCCCTGAACACAACCAACTCCTCCCTGCCCGTAGGCCAGTGATGGCGAACCTATGACACGCGTGTCAGAGGTGACACGCGAACTCATTTTTTTGGTTGATTTTTCTTTGTTAAATGGCATTTAAATATATAAAATAAATATCAAAAATATAAGTCTTTGTTTTACTATGGTTGCAAATATCAAAAAATTTCTATATGTGACACGGTACCAGAGTTAAGTTAGGGTTTTTCAAAATGCTGACACACCGAGCTCAAAAGGTTCGCCATCACTGCCCTAGGCCTTTGCTCCTACTGTGTGCTTTTTGCTAAGGAGGCTCTTCTCTTCGCCTGTCAATGGCGAGGTGCAGGCGGGCCCCATACTGAGCCAGAAGCCCAGGCCAGTCCGCACACTAGGGCAGCCTGTGTACCTCCCTTCAGAGGCTAGAGGGTTTTTCCTTGATTTCAGTGCCCCCTCTGGTCCCGGAGCCCCAGGAGGGCCAGGGCTGCACATTCTCCGTATTCTCAGAGAGGGTATCTCCTGGCACACAGTAGGTGCTCAACAGAGACTGTAGAATGACCACGGTGTAGGGTTGGACACAGGTTGAAAGCTGCTGGGCGTCTGTGCTAGTGTATTCAATCACCCACCATTCACTCGGGGCTGGGCAGAGAGCAGGGAATGGGAGGCCTGCTGTCCCTGAGGGTGGGCCGAGGGGCGGGTCCTCACCTCCTCCCAGATGGCGTAGTGGCTCAGGAAGCAGCCCACCTCGCCCTTGGTCAGCGTGCGGCCGGAGTAGGGGTCCTGGTAGCCGGGGAGCAGGTCCACACCGAGGCTCCTCATGACACTGCTGTTGAGGGTCCTGGGGAAGACAGGGGTGAGGGCTGAGGGTGGCCGCCAGGGACTCGTCCGGGCGCCTGGTGCATGCTGGGTCGGTCACACTGGAGTCTGGCTTCAAGGAGGCCTCAGCCTTGTTCCTGCTCCGTGTGGCCTGAAGCCATCAGTGATCGGATGGGGAAACTGTAGCCAAGTGACCCACAGGGGAGGGGTGGCAGCACGGGAGGTGGGCGGTGGAGTGAGGGGGTGCACCCCAGGGTGAATATGGGGGAACATGGCAGAGGCCCAAGCACAGGATGGACATCGGGTGATCAGAAGGGCTGGGGCGCCGGCACAAACAGCAGCGGGCACGGGGGGCTGAGTAACCCCGGTCCCTGGGGAGGGTGACCGGCCTGCTCGCACCCACAGGTCCAAGTCCAGGCTGGAGAAGAACAACGCTGGGAATAACCATGAAGATACCACTGTCGGTGTCGGGCCCCAAACCCTCGCAAGCCCCTGAGAGAAAGGCACCGTGCTCCCCATTTACACCCCAGGGCTGAGAGATGGGTGACTGGGCAAGTCACACAGCTGCTAAGTGGCAGAGCCCGAACCCAAGCCCGGAAGCTCCTGGGCCTTAACCACTGAACCTCCCCCTCCTGGTTCTGTCTGCCTGGGGACCCCCTGAGACAGAGTTCCTCAGGCCCTATCTAAACGCCTGGACCAGGAAACTCACTCAACTCATTCATCTGCTTTTCCCACCCCAGGGAGCTCCCAGTGGCCCACACCGCCCCCCAGCTGCCCAGGGATCCACCCCAGGGAGCTCCAGTGACCCACACTGCCCCACCAACTACCCAGGGCCCTACCAGGTAACTACAGTGGCCCACACTGCCTCCCCAGCTCCCAGGGCCCCATCCAGGAGCATCACCGGCCATCCACAGCGTCCACCACCCGCCCAGAGATCTCCATTTCCCAGAGCGAGCTCAGCATGCGCTCACGCCTGTCAGGCCTGCGGGCCAGGCTGATGACAAAGACCTGGAGGAGGCAGGGGAGGGGGGAGTGGGGAGTGGGTGCAGGGCAGGGGAAGGGCCCACCCAGGGGAAGGGCCCACCCACCTCCTGACCCCAGGCCTGCAGGCTGTGAGGGAACTTACCTCATCAAATCCCATCCTGGTGGGATTCTTTGGGGGCCGGGACACATGAGCCGAGGCCCACATAGGGGGCCCGTCCACTGCAGAGGAAAGCACCCCAATCATGAGCCCCTTTGGCGGTGACCCTAGAGTCCTAGGCGCCCCACCCCCACCCCATTCCTGCCCCTTCGGCAGAACGCCCAGCAGGAAGGGCCCTCAGAGATCACAGAACCCACCTGCCTCCATTGTACAGATGGGGAGACTGAGGCCCAGTGAGAATGGGACTTGCCCAGAGTCGGGGAATAAGTTAGGGGTGAGGCTGGGACCCCGAGCCCGGTGCCCAGTCAGGTCTGGGGCCTAGGAGAAGGGGCACAGGGGAGGCAGGGAGTGGTGGCAGCAGGCGGGCCCCCGGCTCCCAGCCCTCACCGAGTGCTTCCAGGATCAGGTGGACGAAGTTGACCCTCTCGTCCTCCAGCTCCTGGTGGGATTTCACAGGGACGTTCATGTACCCATAGCGGTGCTCGTTGCACACGTGGACCGAGACTCCTGCAGAGAGAGGCTGGCTGAGTGCCAGGGCAGGGCTCTCAGAACCCAGTCCTGCCAGGGTCCCAGTGTGAGTCCTCCCTGGGACTCAGTGTCCCCACCTGGGGGATTGGAAAGGGCTTGGCTCAAAAAATAAAAAAATAAAAAACCTGAGGGAGGTTTCTGCTGAGGTGGTTTATTCATTTAAATGATGTTTCTGGACCACCTGCTGGTTGCCAGGGCAATGGTGGTGAGCAAGGCAGAGTCTGTACCTTCAGGGGCCAGGAGCAGGCCAACTCCGTGCCTACAGCCGGTGATATAGCCGTGGGAGACCACGTGGGGAGCCACGGCTTCATGGCCTAACTCTGCCTCTGCCAGATCCAGCCCCGATCCAGCACCACCCATCGCCTTTGACCCAGGTCCCTGCACTTAAACCCATACCCTCTCCTGCTCCCTTCAAGCTGTCCTCCACTGGCACCTTTTCATTTCTTTAAGATTTGTCACCTTTATTACAATTACTATTTACTCTCTATCCTCTACAGACGTGAACCCGTCAGGGGCAGGTGCGCGGTATCCTGTGGCTCAGTGGTTGAGCATCAACCCATGAACCAGGTGGTCACGGTGCGATTCCTGGTTAAGGGCACATGCCTAGGTTGCAGGCTCGATCCCCAGTGTGGGGCGGGCAAGAGACAGCCGATCAATGATTCTCATCACTGATGTTTCTATCTCTTTCTCCCTCTCCCTTCCTCTCTGAAGTCTAAAAAATATATATAAATACAAATAAACAAACAAAACCACTGTTCACTAAACTCCTTCAAACTGCTGGCCCATGAACCGTGGCTCATAATCAAAGTAGTAGCAGCAATGAAAAAAAGACATTTGCTGCTTCTCATTGTTTCTCCATACAGTTGTCTCTCACTTTTTACATGTGACTATTTTTCTTCCTGCGTGTCTGCACCACAGACGCAGCCAGTATCTCCTGCACACGAAAACCCGTGACCACGCTCCTCTCTGAATTGCAGAGTGGGAAGGGCATGCAAAGCAGAGGGAACAGCATGTGCGAAGGCCCAGAGGCTTCCGAGGAAGGATCAAGGAGAGCTGTCCTCACCCGCAGCCTGGCAGGAGTAGGCGAAGACGATGATGTCGTCAAAGGGCCAGGTGTAGTTGGGGTGAGGGGGGTAGAAGGCGAGCTGGGCTGCCCCCTCCGCCAGCAGGGATACCAGGAAGGTGGAGTGGACCATGGGGACCCGGAAGCAGCCCCGGCGCTGGCGGTTCTTTGTGGGGAAGTACTCAGCTGTGCGGCGGTAGTAGCCCTGGGGAAGGGGGTGCTCTGGGCAGTGAGAGGGACCCTCCATCCCAAGAACACTGCTCCCTGCCACGGCGCGCAGACCCCTAGGCCTTCAGGCCTTCTGCTCTCGGGGTCCCTCCTCCCAGAACCTCCAGCTTCCTGAGGTCCATCCCCAGCCTCACCTGCGGCGTAATCCCGCACCAGAAATTGGAGTAGTAGGTCTGCGAGTCCAGCATTGGGGCCACCACGGCCAGCCCCTGCTCAATCAGAAGCCGCAGCGTCTGGTTGTTGGTCAGAATGTTGTCTGTATCTGCAAACTGTGAGGAGGGGGATGTCACAGACCCCAGCCTTGCCTGGGCTGCAGCCCCCAGCGATTCACTGAGTGGGATCCCTCCAGATGGCCAGACTCCCAGAAGAGGCTCTCAGAAGCCAGTGGGGTTCCCTTAGAGAGGTCTACCCTACAAACTAGTAGATCTCTTTCGGGACCAAGGATCTAGTCTGGAGCACTGGCTCAGAGTCTGGGTCCAGAGATAAGAACTGAGCTGCTCGCCCAGCCAGTGTGGCTCAGTGGTTGAGTGTCCACCCATGAACCAAGAGGTCACGGTTTCATTTCAGGTCAGGGCACACTCCTGGGTTGCCAACTAGATCCCCAGTAGGGGGCGCGAAGGAGGCAGCCGATTGATGATTCTCTCTCATTGATGTTTCTATCCCTCCCTCCCTTCTCTCTCTGAAAATAATACAAATCCTATATAATAAAGAGATAATATGCTAATTAGACCAGAAAGCGAAATGACCTTCTGGAACGACCTTCCGAATGACCTTCCAGAATGACCAGTGGGCAGGGAGGCAGGCTGCAGGCAGCTGGAGCTGTGAGGGCCTACACTTGCACGAATTTCTTGCATTGGGCTGCTAGTATAAAATAAAGAAAGAG